CATGACAATGAAATTCCTACCACAGCAGCACTCCTCCAAACTAAACATTTCAGTGTTCCAAACACATAGTACACCTTGTGCACTACCATCAGCTCCAACTTCTACATAATCAAAATTATTCCTCACCCATATAGATTGTACCAAATCCCTTGTTACCATTGCTCTCTTTGTTTCTTGCAATAACAGCACATCCACCGTTTTCTCTTTTAGCACTTTCTTAATTTTTCTCCTTTTAATTTCTCTCCCCAACCCTCTAATATTTGACGAAATTATCTTCATAATAACAACAATTAATTCCACACAACCCTTCAATAAGTAAATAACCAGAGCTAGATTACTTGCCTCCAGCTTGCTTCCTTTGATGAAGCAGTTCAATATCTTTGTTCTCGAGCTCCATAATCTTGCTAAGAACCTCATTCTCTTGGTCCTCAAAATCCACCCCTAGTAATTTCCCCATCTGAATTGTTGCTTGAGCTTCATTCAAAAGTATTTGACCAATACTTGACCCTGATTCAAGAGAAGTAAAGTTTTGGAGTTGTTCATAATGTATTCATTTCATATAAGAGAAGTAAAGCAGGGACAAGACATAGCTTCACATCTTCATTCCAAGTTCTAATCTCATCACACATCTCTTGAACTTTCACTGCTATCTTACTGAAATTCTGAATCACACCTTCTATGGATTGTAAAGCGAGTACAATTAGATTGCCCCCTCCTATCCTTACTTGTATTCCTTGAACATTGGCCTGTAATAATATCTTCTGTAAATCCCTTAGCAAACTCATGTCCTTCAATCGGACTATAATGCTTCTGTGCAGCCATTCAGTCCCTTCATCCGATGCGTCAATGGTTAAAACATTATTTTATTTGCATCCATCACTTTTCAGAACTTCAGCATAAGACTTGTTTAAGGAACCTGGCCATTTTCCACCTCCTTGAGCTCCTATTTGCTTTAATAATAAGCTCTTTCTCCTGCTTGGCTTGCCACCAGTTAACCATCTTCTCTTGTCCATGGTTCACCCTTCCTTTTTCTTTGTCATAATCAGCGATCTTCACCTTTAGTACCTTGTCATTGCACCAGATACCATCCGTTTTCTGGATCGTGACTCCTGCCGCAACCTTGCAATCATACTTAACAAAACCAAATCTTGTCCCTGCTTTACTTCTCTTATATGAAATGAATACATTATGAACAACTCCAAAACTTGTAAACATATCTAATAGTTCTTTAGACTTCATCTCCTGAGGAAGATTATCCACGAAGATAGTCACCAGGTTCTCTGATCTTCTCTTAACTCCTTGTCTTCTGCTATTGATCACTGGTTCCAGCCTTCACCATCGGTTCCTCCTTCTCTCCTTCCTTCAACCCCCATCGGTTCCTCCTTCCTGCAAAAGCAAACACATAGTACTATGCAGTTATGATAAGAACTGTTTGTGATTTGGTTTTGAACTTACATGAATTGTTGTCTATAATATGGATATATGATCATAAAATTTAGGTGTTCATTCATTTGTTTTTAAAATTTTATTTTCCAATCATGGTCCCAACCATATTTTACTGTGTAGTAAAAATTGTAATCTTGGTCCATTGACTTCAATTATGTTCCTTACATGGTTCGTACTTGATTAGGAAGAGAAGTTTGTGTTGCTTAACTGTGCTGCCATGTATAATATTATAGTGCCACCACAGCACTTTTAGAATGATTAAAACATAGTAGAGGGTGGAGTGACTTCTTAAATTTTCGCCATCTTGGAATATTCTGTCAAAGTTTGAATTAGATGGCATAATCACAAGATATGTAGCCAGCAAAAAAATTATAAATATGTTTCCAATTATGGCTTTTTGGTTCTGGTGTGAAGGTTAATTTATCTAAAACAAACTGTCTATATTGGTATCTATATTCACATACTTTTAGTTGGGTGCTCAACAAAATGCATTCTATACCTATTTTAAAACATTTTTCCGTAGGTTAGTTTCAGAAGCAAACTCATTGGTGGTTTTTCTTTTTATTTGTATTGTAAATTTGTATAATTTTAAGCTTGTTTTTAACATATACTGTTACAAGCCTATTGCTTTTCTTATCTATATATATCATTGAATTTGATTGTTCAGAATGCATTCATTATTATGTTTCCTGATGACCCAGAAATGGAGTTTGGCCTCTACATGTGAGAATAATACATTTATTTCATTTTCTTGACATGTGCCGCCTCTCTTATAGTTTTCTTGTGGTTTCACAGAAATTGCCAATTTATTTGTATAATTGTCTTCTGTCTAAACCTTGGGTTGCTATGATTTGTATCTGCGCTTTAGTGCAAACCATTAACTAGGGATTCTTTGACTGAACTTAAAGAGATTCTCTTTTGGCATACTTTTTGTTTTGCATGTGCTTCCCTTTTTCTTTTTGTTAATTTTTTGCTTTATCATAAAGTTGTCATAAATATTTAGATAAGCTTACATGCTGCAGATTTGCAAATGTAGGCATAGTATGGACAGTAAACCTGCGTTCTTTTAAAATTTCCTGTAATTATTGCTTTTGAGTTTCGATCTTAAATTTCCTGTTAAATGATCTATGTCTAGGTTGCGGAACTTGTTCTCAGAGAAGAATCATTTCAAACTAACAGTCGTGACTATTCAAAGCTCATTGAGGCCCATGCTAAAGAGAACCGTTTAGAAGATGCGGAGAGGATTCTTAAGAACATGAATGAAAAAGGCATCCTGCCCGACATTCTCACGTTTACAGTATTGGTTCACATGTACAGCAAGGCAGGTAATCTTGGCCGTGCGAAAGAGGCGTTTGAAAGCTTGAGAAGCCAAGACTTTCAACCGGACATGAGGATATACAACTCAATGATCATGGCATATGTAAAGGCTGCACAACCGAAGTTGGGCGAGTCACTGATGAGAGAGATGGAAGCAAGGGACATGAAACCCACGAAAGAGATTTACATGGCATTGCTCAGTTCATTTGCCCAGCGTGGCGATGTTGGTGGAGCTCAAAGAATCGCTACCACGATGCAGTTTGCTGGGTTCCAACCCAGTTTGGAGTCTTGTACATTGCTTGTCGAGGCATTTGGGCAAGCGCAAGACCCGGATCAGGCGAGGAACAATTTCGACTACATGATTAAACTTGGACACAGGCCTGATGATAGGTGCACCGCTAGTATGATTGCGGCTTACGAGAAATGTAATTTATTGGATAAGGCATTGAATCTTCTATTGGAGCTTGAGAAGGATGGTTTTGAACTGGGTGTTGCTACTTACAGTGTGCTTGTGGATTGGTTGGCTAAATTGCAGCTGCTTGATGAAGCTGAGCAACTGTTGGGCAAGAGTGCTGAGCAGGGTGAGAATCCTCCGTTTAAGGTTCATATAAGCCTTTGTGAAATGTACTCGAAGGCTGGGGTAGAGAAAAAGGCTCTTCAAGCCCTAGGGGTTGTAGAGGCTAAAAAGGATCAGTTGGGGCCAGAGGAGTATGAGAGGATTATTCATGGGCTTTTAGCCGGAAGGTTTGTCCAGGATGCTCGAAGGATGCATGGGTGGATGGAGGCTCGGGGCTTTTCTACTTCAAACAGCCTAAAGGTGGCCTTGATGGCATCCCAAGCCTTGCGTCACAACAGACCAACAATGAGGTAGGTAGTCTTTTTAATCATTGAGGAATACACTTCAAAACACTGCATGGTAGCAAGATGCAACTGACAGGGTATTGAGCTCCTCAGAACATTATTATCCAAACCTATCTTAGTGGCTGTTGGCACAGTTCTTGTGCTTATAAAATTGTTATACATGTTGTCCATTTTGAAAATCACCATGCATTGGTTGCCTGTATGAACTGAGATTAGTAAGTTGTCTACTTTGGAACAGAGTTTTGTCATAATTTCCAATTGAGATTACTGTCCAAATTGTTTGATCTTTTTGTCAATAAGAATTAGTTTTATCAAGCTTTGGATATCATAATCACCAGTGCAGTGATATGAGATACCACTGCCCTTGGATGTTGAAATCCAGGGTTCTCATTTTACAGATCTGATACCAATAGCTATAGCTAACTGGCAGTTTGATTTTCTGAAAAAGGGAAATCCTGTGTGTTTGGATTTGCTTTGTTCTGCTTTGTTTGAAGTCCATGAGTGCAAATATGTTTGTTAATTTTGCATTGTTTCTTCCTGTGAGGAGATTGAACACCATGAGCCCATATTGTTGCTTATATGTGCTAGTGTTAGACTGAGGCACCATGACAATAAATAAGTACTTTTGACTTTCATTGATTGTTATCCATGTTTTCTCTTTTGTGCATCACGTATGTTTTGTGCTATAAATTGGAATCGAAAGGCTTGATGGGTGAAGAGATTGTGGAAACAGAATGTTGTCACGGGTTCTTGTGCCCCTAAAATTATTATACATCTCTTCCATTTTGAAAATAACCATGCATTGGTTGCCTAAATGAGCTGAGTTTGTTAAAGTTGTCTACTTCTGAACAGAGCTTAATAAAGTTATCTACTTTCAAACAGAGCTTTGTCTTAGTTTGCAGAAGGTTATTTTTTTTATCTCTTGATTATATCTTATACTTTCAGCTGGGGTAATTGTGTAAATTGCAGTCTCAAACTAGTTTTACAGTCCTATTCGTTTTATCTGTTTGTTAATAAGAATTGAGTAATTAAATCAGGATTTGATGTGTACAATTATCAATAGTGCGTGATTTGGGATTCCAAGAGCTATATATTTCACTGGCAGTTTGATTTTCTAAGCAAATAGATTCCATGTGTTTGGTTTTTTGCTTTTGTTCTGTTTTGTTGAAATCCAAACATGTTGGTTAATTCTGCATTGTTTCTGCAGTTTCTATTATTCATATCTACAAGGACCTGGTGGTTAAATTAAGCATCAAATGTTGTTACTTCATATGAGGAGATAGCACACCATGAACATAGTATTTTTGGTTTCCTGCTTGTAATTTTTCACAGTTACGTTGAACTGTCATGACTGAGGCACCATGACATCAAATAAGTACTTCAACTTTCTTTGATTGTCATTAATGTTATCTCGTGTGCATAATACATATGTTTTGTGCTATAAATTAGAATTGAAAGGCTGATGGCGTAAAGTGATTGTCGAAACAGAATGTTGTCAAAGATTTTTAGAATATCCTCCCTTAATGAACTCATTCAGCCTCTTCACTTCCCCGCTCTGCTGCTCTACCACCGCTCGCACAACATCAACAACCGAAATCATCCCAACAATGTTTTCATCTATTTCAGGAACATGCCGAATGTGATTCTCTGTCAACATCAAATCATGTCAAAATTAATTTTGCGTGCCAAAATTTAAATTATGTCAATTGTCAGACTGAAAAATCAACAAGATGTTTATGTTACCTGTCATGAGCTGCATTGCATGAAGAATGTTGGTATTGGATGTCACTGTTATCAACTTGTGCTGATTGATGAATATATACAAGAATGAAAAGGTGGGTAAGACGAGAGTAATTTTTTTATTTTTTATTTTTTATTTTTTTTTTCCTGAGAAAATAGATAGTATTCGGTAACTGGGAAAACCTGATCAGTCATGATCTCCCTGACTTTTGTGTATTTAGGAGGCCTGTCCTTCGCTATTACCTTCCGCAGATAGTCTGTGTTTTGTCATTTGATTCCACCATCGCCAATACTGTTTGAAAATGGTCTTGTTGACAAGGGAAACTTGCACCGAAGGGTCCATTTGGCAAGCTTGCAATTTATTGTTTATTTTTGGTAAAAACAAAAACAAAAAAACAGGTTTAGTACACATGTATTTCAGAAACTTATTTTCAAAACAGGCAGAATGGGTTGTTTGTCGATAGTTGTAGATGGTGGTCAAAAGTGGTTATTGGAGGTTGTTAAGGTAGGTGGTTGGCAATGGTTGAAGGTGGTTACCAATAACTGAAGGTGGTGGTTAGCCACCAGAGGTAGTGAGGTGACAAACAAAGTTGGTTTCCGGTAAGAGTTGGTGGCTAAAGGTGGTTGGTGGAGGTCACAGGCGATGATGGCCGATGGTTGTGATGAGCGGTGGTAGGTGGTGGCCACAAGTGAAATCAATTTTTTTGTGATTACAAAAATTTAGTAAATTTTGTAAACTGTTTACAAGTTTTTGAAAAAAAGCAAATTATATTGAGTCCCTGCATTGTCTCTGTGTCATTTTGGTTTCTATCATTTTAATTAGTCCGATTTTGATCATTAATTTTAGGATTAATTGCATTTGTCACCTTTATAGTTTGACTCAAATTTCACTTTAGTCTCTATAATTTCAATTTGAACAATTTGGTCCCTAAACTTTAAGTCCAATTTCAATTTGGTCATTCCGTCTAAATTGTTGTTAATTTTGTCATGTTTTATCTTTAGAAAATGGACAAGCATCTTAAAATTATTAATTTTAATCTTCAATTTAGCTGAAAGGTCCAAATTGTAACCTTAAAAGATTGACCAGTGTTCAAAAATTGTTAATTTTAACTTCAAGTTATACAAAATAAACAAATTGAAATTAGACTTAAAGTATAGGGATCAAATTGTATAAATTGAAATTATAAGGACTATAGTGAAATTTGGGTCAAACTATAATGATGAAAAGTGTAATTAACCCTTAATTTTAAATTGTGATAATTTGGTCCAATTGATATTACTGATTAAGGATTTTGCATAAAAATTGTCACTAAATTGATTGAAATTAACTTATTAAGTTGAATACATTCATAATTTTGCTTATAAAAGTATGACACATGTCATTCATGTACATATTTTTCATAAAAAAAAATATTAATAATTGTAATCAATTTAACCAAATAAAGACAAAAGTATAAGTTTAAGATTAAAATCAAATCAATTGAAATGATAGGGACTTAAAGGACACAAATGCAAAAAATATAAGAATTACCGGTATAATTTGTCCAAATAAAAATAAATATTAAACGAATTTTTATTTGCAATTTTTTTTTTAAAAAATATAAACAAAAGAAATATAAACACAAACATTACCAAACATACTCCATCAATTTTACTTTAGTTTAGCTGATGAAACTACCTCTTTCTGTGATGATTCCTGCAATCATTTGTTGTTCTACTGGTTTTAGAACCACTAAAGATCCAACATTATTTTGTGCCATCTACAATTTTGCACCATTGTGATAAAAGATAAACATGATTAAATTGGAGTTCAAATTTGCTAAAATTGAATATTTTAATTTCATGGGTGAAGTTTGTGCATTATGGGACTAATTGTTCATCTCATATGACAATATGAGAAGAACATGCAAGCAAAAGATTGGGTTGATCAAACATAAATAATCACATGATCAATCACTCACACGCGCGCGGGCGCGCGCGCGCGCGCACACACACACACATATATATTATAATACATGAATGGTTCTACTCTTAAAAACATGTAGGTTATATAGATAAAAATTGTTTAATAATATGACAATCGATATCGGATTAACTTGATTTTTAGCATGAATAATTTTCTCAATTAGTTGTGTAAGATGAATGAGTTAGGTTGAGTTCAAAGTAGTTAGATAATGGATCAACTTCATGGTGAAGTTGAGATCTTTTAACTTTAGCGAATCTAAACTCATTAAATTGAGATCAACAAGAAAATTTATTAATTTATTTTCAAGTGTTGTAAAAAACGTACTTGCTTCACTGCACCATGGACAGTGTCATCAGTGCTGCACCGTAGCCAAGACTCAACTTTTTCGCCTCCCTTTCTCATCAACACATCTGCCACTGTCTTGTTCTCTAAACCCTTCTGATGCATAGCAGCAGGAGGAGAGGAGGTGACACGCCCACATCGCGAGAATATTTTGTTCATCTCAGTTGTATCCCTCACAAGTGAATGCTGCAGAATTGCAAGCTTAAGTGTTTCATGGCAAGACCGTACTGCTCGGATAAAACCTTGCATTTTTACCCTGTTAATTGAAACAAAAGAATGCTATAAACAGCTCTCAACATTCATACAAGATTTCCATCAGATTTAAGCAATGAAAATGAATTGATCCCTTGTTTTAATTAGTTCAGAATCTTTATATTAGAACACTACTTGTGTACAAAAAGCAGAGATTTTTAGACTGCCAACTCCATAGGAAGAAAGCAATATTGGCATAAAGATGAGAGGGTAAAGTTAAAGACAAAAAATTTCAAAGGTTATAAAAAATGTATTGGAATTTGTAAAACGTGTATTGGAATAAGTGGAAAATGTTATAATCAGTTTGAAATCATTAAAAAGTGTATCTAAATTTGTGAAACATGTCTATTATTTTTACTCTTTTTTTGCGCCTTAGAGGCATTAGTTAGCAAAACCCAAAAAAATATATATAAAAAAGTGACAAAAATTGTATTACAACACACATACATTGTAATTAGATTAGAGGTTGAGCTTGCAGCTGAATGGAGTTCTCCTGGAACTGAAGATATGTCCTGCTTCCATTGTTGGCAATCCAAAGGACACTATAAGAATATCTTGATTCTTGCCTCCATTGCTTCCTTGTCAAAATGTGTTTTGTGGTGTTCTTTTCTTTCTATGTAAGGTTCTTCTGTAGGTGGACATGATGTGTAGAGTAGCTATATTCACCCAAAAGTTGTATCAGGAGTTTCATGTATAATTTGGATAGCAATGGGCAGAGGAGTTTCATGTTTAATCATTTACTATATTTATTGTATGTATGGTTATGAATAACTTCTTTAAAAAAAAAAACCGCGGATACCGATAAACATATTAGATCATTTTCAGCCATAATTAAAATAAAATAAAAAAATTGAATCATAATCAAATACCACATAAGGTATAACCATTGACCTTTTGAATCATAATCAAAATAATGTCATAACCAACATTGCAATGAATAACTAACGTCACAATAAATTATAATCAAATTAGAACTAATATCACAATTGGTCATGATTGGAAAAAATCAATTCACATCTATCCACCCATTTGGCATATGCGAATTGAGCGGGCTGTGCAAGTTGGGGGATGAATGCAATCGGTTTGGCTATTTGGAGACTTTATAAATTTTGGACATTTTTTCGAATTACAATTCATTACTTTTACAATCTCTAATAACTAGAAATCTGAAAAAATATGTATTATTTGTCTATAATAGACCATGGCACCACGTATGCATATTTTTAAGGTATTGTTTTCTATTTTTACAAAAAGATATATTTTATTATTCTTACTCTATATTGTTACTTGCTAGCAGTACTTTTTATCTTTTTTTTAACTTCATCTACAGGCCGATTAGGTTCATGTGGGTGCGGGATAGTTGATTTGCCATTTAAACTATAGCCACTGATTTTGAAATATTTCATCGGTGTACGCCAAAAATTAGTCTAATTGGGTCCGGTTGGGCGGGTGAGGTGGGTTGCGCAAATCCATGATCACCCCTTGGATGAATGGTGGATGGGATGTCACCTGACCCAACCTGATCCGTGATCACCACTAATTGAAAGTATGTTACGATCCTTCGTTTGGACAGGGACTGTGAAAAGGACGGGCTAAGGTCAAATGGGCTGGTGTGTGTGTTCTTAAGGAAGATGGGGGCTTGGGTATTAGAGATGTGAACAATTGGAATAAAGCAAGCATTTTAAGACTTTTGTGGTCTCGTAGTAAAAAAAGCTGATTTTTTATGGGTAAGATAGATTCATTTTTATATAATAAGGGACCAGTGTTTTGGGGCTACAAAGCTTCCTAAAGATTCTTCTTGGTCTGTGAAGAAGATATTTAAGCTAACACAGATGGGGCAGCCTTTAATTCAATATCAAATTAGCAATGGATTGAACACTTTTCTGTGGTTCGATAATTGACACCCCTTGTGACAGAGCATGGATGGCATTGGCATAAACAAAGGAATAGGACAGTTCAGCAGGGACTAATTGTTCATCTCATATGACAATATGAGAAGAACATGCAAGCAAAAGATTGGGTTGATCAAACATAAATAATCACATGATCAATCACGCGCGCGCGCGCACACACACACACATATATATATATATATATTATAATACATGAATGGTTCTACTCTTAAAAACATGTAGGTTATATAGATAAAAATTGTTTAATAATATGACAATCGATATCGGATTAACTTGATTTTTAGCATGAATAATTTTCTCAATTAGTTGTGTAAGATGAATGAGTTAGGTTGAGTTCAAAGTAGTTAGATAATGGATCAACTTCATGGTGAAGTTGAGATCTTTTAACTTTAGCGAATCTAAACTCATTAAATTGAGATCAACAAGAAAATTTATTAATTTATTTTCAAGTGTTGTAAAAAACGTACTTGCTTCACTGCATCATGGACAGTGTCATCAGTGCTGCACCATAGCCAAGACTCAACTTTTTCGCCTCCCTTTGTCATCAACACATCTGCCACTGTCGTGTTCTCTAAACCCTTCTGATGCATAGCAGCAGGAGGAGAGGAGGTGACACACCCACATCGCGAGAATATTTTGTTCATCTCAGTTGTATCCCTCACAAGTGAATGCTGTAGAATTGCAAGCTTAAGTGTTTCATGGCAAGACCGTACTGCTCGGATAAAACCTTGCATTTTTACCCTGTTAATTGAAACAAAAGAATGCTATAAACAGCTCTCAACATTCATACAAGATTTCTATCAGATTTAAGCAATGAAAATGAATTGATCCCTTGTTTTAATTAGTTCAGAATCTTTATATTAGAACACTACTTGTGTACAAAAAACACAGATTTTTAGACTGCCAACTCCATAGGAAGAAAGCAATATTGGCATAAAGATGAGAGGGTAAAGTTAAAGACAAAAAATTTCAAACGTTATAAAAAATGTTTTGGAATTTGTAAAACGTGTATTGGAATAAGTGGAAAATGTTATAATCAGTTTGAAATCATTAAAAAGTGTATCTAAATTTGTGAAACATGTCTATTATTTTTACTCTTTTTTTGCGCCTTAGAGGCATTAGTTAGCAAAACCCAAAAAAATATATATAAAAAAGTGACAAAAATTGTATTACAACACACATACATTGTAATTAGATTAGAGGTTGAGCTTGCAGCTGAATGGAGTTCTCCTGGAACTGAAGATATGTCCTGCTTCCATTGTTGGCAATCCAAAGGACACTATAAGAATATCTTGATTCTTGCCTCCATTGCTTCCTTGTCAAAATGTGTTTTGTGGTGTTCTTTTCTTTCTATGTAAGGTTCTTCTGTAGGTGGACATGATGTGTAGAGTAGCTATATTCACCCAAAAGTTGTATCAGGAGTTTCATGTATAATTTGGAAAGCAATGGGCAGAGGAGTTTCATGTTTAATCGTTTACTATATTTATTGTATGTATGGTTATGAATAACTTCTTTAAAAAAAAAATCCGCGGATACCGATAAACATATTAGATCATTTTCAGCCATAATTAAAATAAAATAAAAAAATTGAATCATAATCAAATACCACATAAGGTATAACCATTGACCTTTTGAATCATAATCAAAATAATGTCATAACCAACATTGCAATGAATAACTAACGTCACAATAAATTATAATCAAATTATAACTAATATCACAATTGGTCATGATTGGAAAAAATCAATTCACATCTATCCACCCATTTGGCATATGCGAATTGAGTGGACTGTGCAAGTTGGGGGATGAATGCAATCGGTTTGGCTATTTGGAGACTTTATAAATTTTGGACATTTTTTCGAATTACAATTCATTACTTTTACAATCTCTAATAACTAGAAATCTGAAAAAATATGTATTATTTGTCTATAATAGACCATGGCACCACGTATGCATATTTTTAAGGTATTGTTTTCTATTTTCACAAAAAGATGTATTTTATTATTCCTACTCTATATTGTTACTTGTTAGCAGTTCTTTTTATTTTTATTTTTAACTTCACCTACAGGAAGATCAGGTTCATGTGGGTGTGGGATAGTTGATTTGCAATTTAAACTATATCCGCTGATTTTGAAATATTTCATCGGTGTATGCCAAAAATTAGTCTGATTGGGTCCGGTTGTGTGGGTGAGGTGGGTTGTGCAAATCCATGATCACCCCTTGGATGAATGGTGGATGGGATGCCACCTGACCCAACCTGATCCGTGATCACCACTAATTGAAAGTGTGTTACGATCCTTCGTTTGGACAGGGACTGTGAAAAGGACGGGCTAAGGTCAAATGGGCTGATGTGTGTGTTCTTAAGGAAGATGGGGGCTTGGGTATTAGAGATGTGAACAATTGGAATAAAGCAAGCATTTTAAGACTTTTGTGGTCTCGTAGTAAAAAAAGCTGATTTTTTATGGGTAAGATAGATTCATTTTTATATAATAAGGGACCCGTGTTTTGGGGCTACGAAGCTTCCTAAAGATTCTTCTTGGTCTGTGAAGAAGATATTTAAGCTAACACAGATGGGGCAGCCTTTAATTCAATATCAAATTAGCAATGGATTGAACACTTTTCTGTGGTTCGATAATTGACACCCCTTGTGACAGAGCATGGATGGCATTGGCATAAACAAAGGAATAGGACAGTTCAGCAAGTTTACCTCTGCATCTTTAGTGCTTGAAATTACTAACTCGTTTGGGATGCTACCTTTTTAGCCAATTAGTAAAAAAGTTACTAAATTAGCCAATTAGTCATACCAAAAAGTCAACAATTACGGTTTCTCTCTACTTTTTGCACAGGTTTTTGTAATTAGTCAAAAAATCATCCCAAACATACAAGTTTTTTTTACTTACTTTTTTAGCCAATTAGCCAAAAAGTTACTAAATTAGCATGTTCCCAAACGAGGCAAGAAGATGCAGTTATTTGTGTTCCTACTCCTAATGGTTCCTGTACTATTAAGTCATCCTAGGAGGCCATTAGACCAAGGAGATCTGAAGTTGTCTGGCATGATGTTGTTTGGTTTAGAGGACTGGTTCCTAAATGGTCCTTTATTCTATGGTTGCTTTGTTAGCAGAGGCTAACCACTAGGGATAGAATTTTATGTTGGAATGGAGAATGCAGGTTGAACCCCTCTGTCTGCTATGCATTGCAGTTCAAGAAAGCCATACGCATCTTTTTCTTGAATGTATTTTTAGCCAGTATATATGGGATAATATGTTAAAGAATAATCAAACTAACAGAGGTGTTTTGAATTGGAGTGAGGAAATTTAATGGTGTAATGTCCAGGCAAATCTTTTTAATTATGGCTCATAATATGTCTTTGGCTTGTGTAGTTTAACACATTTGGATTGAAAGAAATTACAGAATTTTTAGGCAAGCAGCTAATCATCCAGAGGTCACCCTTGCTACTTCCATTTGAGATCAGAGCTAGAATTTGCTCTTTCAAGAATATCAGAAGAACTTTTCTTAACTGGTAGAGTTGTATGGATTGTGGAGTTACCCCATCTTAGAATTTTTTTTAAGGTTTCTGGTTTAGTATTGAGGGTGTTAGCGGGTATGCCCCTTTGTTCTTTGGTTTGAATAAAATTTAGGGTAAATTACACTTTGCCCCTTTTATATTTGGCTACTTTTCTACTTCAGCCCTTAAAGTTTATTTTTTCCCACTTTAGCCCTTTTTGTTTCAATTTTTTCTTAGTTTACTCCTAAAACTAACTTCTGTTCAAAATTAGACAGAAAATACTATAATAGCTGTCACATAATATAAAATATATATTATGATATTAGGATTTAA